ATTAAAGTCATACACCAAACTTATTTGTGTTAAGGATGCAGCTTTAATTCATCTGGGTGATCATTGAAAGTCCTGTGAGGATGGAAAGTTGAGAATGTTTCCTTTCATCAATATTGTATGCACAACTAGGCAACCCTAAAAAGTCCAGTTATATTTTGTCAGTGTTTAATGACTTAGTCCAGTGATAGTATTGATTTCAGCTGTGTTCGGAAGGTTTTGTGTAACTTGCTCTCCCACATGGCTCTATAATAATTGGTGCACATTAAATAATTATTAAATACCTAAGTTAATATGGGAAACTTGGTAGCCACCAACAAGGTCACATCGATTTGTCATTCACTGCTGAGACCAACGTGTAGGAAGAAATTGTTTTCCCCAATGTTGCCTACTTTGTATTTCCAGTAGGGTTTGGGGCTTTTTGTTTTATTTTGCTTGCTTTGCTTTTATTCGAAGTGCATTCTCAGCCTTGTTTTCCATAAGCCCTAGGCATATTCTCATTTCGCTTGCCAAAAAAAAAAAAAAAAAAAAAAAAAAGAAAAATCCATGTTTCCAGACCAGATGGTATGTGTGTCATTTTTTCAAGTCTGAGAAAATCATTGTACCTCCCATTACTATCATACATTCTCAAAGCAGGATTACAGAGCCCATTTCTTGAAAACCATTATCTAATTTTAAAATTCCCTCTAAACAATAGTGCATTTTGCTGGCTTTTGTGGGCAGTTCATCTTGGCTGCCTTGAACAAAATTGTTACCATGTTCACCATAGTGTTTAGTGGCCTGAATTCTTGGTTATTAATTTATATTTGCATTTCTCTGCAATCAAAGATGAAAATTTGGCAGCTTCTTTCTTCTATTGAAAATAATGAATTTCCTTGTTTCCACAAGGATATTCAACAACAAAATTAGGCTGCGGTTTTTAATGAGCTCAGTAATCTTCAAGGGAACAGTCCAAATGCAGCTGAAGTTCCAAGTAAGAGCAGATGTTTCTAAGAATATGCAGAGTTCATTGAGCCTTAAATTTCCTCTCATTTCTTCTGTCTTCTTGAAAGCCATTATGTGACCAAATTGGGTGTAAAGTAGCAAATGTATTTCTTTATATTTACCACAGTGCCCGTTAGAGGGCAGCAGTATACAGACACAGCATCCAGAAAAAACAAGCACTTTGATTCACAGGCATGAGCCTTTTTTGCATCTTCTGAACACAATTGAATATGTTGTAATTTGTAACTTTATCCCATAATATGAATTTTATGTATAATGTCTATACAACTGCAGGATAGCCTCATCTTTGAGCTTTGTTTTAAAATGATTAAAAATGCTTTTTAATCTTAATTCTATAGATTTGGTTTATAATATTTCATATTGCTTATGAGAAGAATAACACTACTGATGACTAATAGCAATATCTTTTCTTTAATAAGTTATTTCTGTTTTAACTCTTATTGACTATGATTTTTGTTGTTGTTGTTAAAATATAAGTAGCTGGTGATATGATGGGATTCGTGGGAGAAAGACATGGTTTGAGTTTTAGAGGTATGGTGTCATGCTATAGAATATGCAGTGAATAAATATTTTTTACATGAATGTACTCTAAATTTTTAGAAAACAGCTTTCATATTTTCTGGGAAAGTGTGTATGTGTGTGCACACGTGAGTGCACACAGGCACTAAAAGTTTTCCTGTAACAACTCATTTTGTCCTCTCAAGAACCTTATGAAGTAGGTACTGTACCATTATCTAGATTACAGGTGAGGAAACTAAAACACAAGTGGTGAGTGAATTGACACCGTACCAGGTCACACTACCAATAAGTGGCTAAACTGGAATTTAACCCAGAAGGTCTGGCATCCCAGACCAGGCACTAAAAATACTTTGCTATACTACCTGTCTCATTGAATTGTCCAACCATTCCCTGTGAATCGTAGTGTCACCTGTCTCTATCACGTTTTTACACAGAGTCCTGTTTCTGGGCCTTTATTCCATTAGCCTTTTTAACCCTTCACTCATACCAGTTGCCATACTAGATTTATTATTATAGGCTTAGGTAAGTTTTGAGATCTTGGAACTTTGACTTCTCCACTTAATCTTCTTCAGAATTGCCTTGACTATTTTTGTATCTTTATTCTTCCATATAAGGTTTAGGATGAACTTATACATTGCAGGATTTTAAGTAGAAATAATATGTTTATCTTTATTTTTCTAAATGACCTTAAGTCATTTTCGGAACAAGATAAAAGAATATATAGTAAGAGAGAGATAAAATATAGTTAGGAAAGATAACTAAGAAGATGTATTTTTTAATTCTATTTTTCCATGTTTTAAAATTTGTTACAATGAATATTATTTACATCATGGAAAATATATTTTAAGTTTTTATTTTATTATAAAGAAAATAAGTATAAATAGAAACAGAAGTAATGAAGACTGTACGTAAATGATTCTGATTCTGACCTCAAAATCCACATGAATTACCTTTCCAGCCTGAAAAAAAAAAAAATCTGCCAGTGAGTTTTAGAAAATTGATATTTGTAACTTTGAGAAGATATCTTAGGCATTGTGACTAAAGAACAGAAAAACAAAAACAAGCATACTACTTTTGAAAAGGACAGTTGCAGAAACTATAGACCAGTGATGTTGGTGTTAATCCAAGCATAATTTTAGAACAATTTTTTCAGCATATAGTTTAGAAAGTGGTGATCATGAAGACTTGGCATAGGAATTTATTTATATATTTTCCCCTGCCTTTGCTAACAATGCAAAGGGAAGACACCAAGTGCATATAAGGGTTACTTTGGCAAGAACAAATTTGATAACTAATTTCACCTTCTCAGGAACCTTGTAAGATGTCCCTCAGGCAAAGTTATTTTCCCAGCGTCACACATGAGTCGAACAAAAACTAGAACTCGGGCTTTTTTACACTTAAAAGAGTATTAATTATTATTGTGTTGCTGAGATATGCTACCTATGTCATCTGCCATGGCTGAACCTTTTCTTTATCTGGGTCTGGACCATATAACCATAAAGAATTGTGGGGAGTAGCTCTAGTAGATGATGACAGATATCCATTTTAACTGTCTGGAGAAAGTATAGGGTAGTATTGAGCTTAATCTACAACACAATTAACAGGTTCAAGAAGAAAAGGGAATTTTGTGGTTGCAAAGGATAATAAATGCTAGAATTGGTCTAAGAATGGCAGTAAAACATCTTTCCCTAGAGAACGTTATTAAAAGATGAATTCCATTCTACCTGTGGTGTTTGAAATATAATCCTCCTTAACTGGGTGGCTAGATAAAAATTTATGCCAGCCCTAAGGATCTATGAAAATATTAGCTGATATATTTACTTCAATTATTGCAATCCTAGTATGTGTTCAACATTGTGTCCCACTTATTATGAAATAGTGGGAAGTAGTTTAGGGTGCCTGCTATGTGCCAAGCAGTTTCTAGATGCAACAGGTATACAGCAGAGGGCAAAGAATATTTTTCTGATTGGCTGAAATGTTGGCCCTCATGGAGCTTCATTTTAGTAAGAGAAGGGTAGACAATAAGCAAGTTAAATAAAATTTATAATATGTGAGAAGATGGTAAGTGCTAAAGAAGAAAATATAATAAGAGGGATAGGGAGTGTATTGGTATAACTTTAGATAAGGTGGGCAAGAAAGGTAGCATTTGAGCAAAGAAATGCAGGAAGGAATAAAGGATGCTGTTGAAATTGTAGGGGGATAGGCAGAAGTAACAGTTAAGTGCAAAGGCCTTGAGGCTGGAACAAGAAGTCCTGGGTAGCTAGAGCAGAATGAAGGAAAACAGTAGCAGGACAGTCCTATAGGAAAGCCAGATCTTGTGGGGCCTTGTAAATTATTTTAGGAACTTTGGATTTTACTCTGAGTAAAATAAAGAGCTACTTGAATGAACAGAGTATTGAGGTGATAGTTTGACATACTTTTAACTAGATCACTCTGTCTGCAGTATTAAGAATAGAGGGAGGGAGGGAATGAGGATGGAAGCAGAGAGACCAGTCAGGAGACTGTTGTTCTGTGGTAATATAGAGATGTTGCCTTGAACCTTAGGGTTGTTGAAAAATGGTCAGATTAGGAATATATTTGAAAGGCAAAGTCCAAAAAGTTTGCAGAGGAATGGATGATTGAGTGTTGGAGAAAGGCATTACAGATAGCTAAACATTTCACCTGAGAGGAAAAATAAATATGCCATTTACTGAAGTGGTGAAGACTATAGAAAGCAGATTTGGAGGAGGGGAAGAGTAATTGCGCCATTTGGACGTCTATTTAAGAAGTTTTTTTTTTTTTTAATTTTTTAAGTTTATTCACTCAGAGAGGGAGAGAGCACAAGCAGGGGAAGGGCAGAGAGAGAGGGAGAGAGAATCCCAAGCAGGCTCTGCACTGTCATTGCAAAGCCCCATGTGGGGCTTGAACTCACGAACCATGAGATCATGACCTGAGCCGAAGGCAGATGCTTAACCGACTGAGCCACCCAGGTGACTCAAGAAGTTATTTTAAATCCAAATGGAAATACTCTGCGCAGGCAGTTGAATATACGTATATGGCGTTCAGGAGAAAGCTCAGTTGGAGGAAAGAATTTATGGATCATTGGTGTTTTTATGGTTGAAATATTGAGAATGGAAGTTGTCCCCAAGGAAATAAGTGTAGATAGAAAAGAGGCCCAAAGTCTGAGCCCTGGTGTTTTTACATAGTTAAGAGATTAGGCAGATAAAAAAATAGACAAAGATGTAGCAAGAAGACCTAGAAACCACATGGAGAAAGTATTCATAGAAAAGGAGTTTGAGTGATCAGCTATATTATCAGATGCTGCTGATAGATCCCCTAAGAAGATTCTGGTACTCTCTTTTATGGCATGTATCTGAATGTATATATAATCACTCATCTGTCTGACTTCAGTTTTTGTCCCTTTGAGCTCCCACTCTCTGCCTGGCAATCTTCCATTGGTATTTCAACTTCTGACTAATTTTACCTGTTTGATATTGCAGGAGAATCCTAACCCTCATATGGCATTCCAGAAAGTTCCACGCCCAACAGAAGGATCCCACTTGCGAGTTCATATTCTGCCTTTCCCAAAAATTAATGAAACTCGGGTACAGGAATTAATACAGGAAAATCTTGCTAAGAACCAGAATGCGCCTCCTGCTTCACGAGTGGAAAAGAAATGTGTTGTGCCAGCAGGTCCACCTGTTGGTATGTATCTGTCTCTTTGTTTGTTTTAAAAGTAAACCTTTTATCAAGATAGAAGACACAAAAATGAAAGTGTGCCACTTGACGAATTTTTACAAAGTAAACAAACTTGTATAACCAGAATTAGAGCATTGTTAACACCCAGAAACACTGTTCCATTCACTGTCTCTCACAAACAGTAACCATTAATGTAACTGCTATACTATAGAATCTTCTCTTTTTAAAAAACAGCTATATTGAGTTATATTTCACACACCATAAAACTCAATAAGTGCACCATTCAGTGGTTTTTAGCATATCCACAGAGTTGTGCAACCATTTTCACTACATACTATCAGATTGTTTTCATTATGCCAAATAGAAATACCCATACCTATTAGTAGTCACTCCCCATTTTCCACCAAAACCATTCCTCTCTACCGTTAGGCAATAATCTTTATATCTTTATAGATTTACCTATTCTGGACATTTTATATAAATGGAATTATACAGTATATGATCTTTTGTAACTGACTTCATTTAGCATAATATTTTCAAGGTTCATCCATGTAGCATGTAACAGTACTTCATTGCTTTTTATACCTGAATAATATTCCATCGTATGGAGATATACATATATGTATACATGTATGTGTGTATATGTGTGTATATGTATATGTACATGTATATCTATATGTATATGTAAGTATATATATTTATGTTTTGTTGTCCATTCACCAACAGGTGGGTGGTTGGGTTGTTTCTACTTTTGCCTACTTTTGACTACTTTTTGACTACTGTTTTCAGAATGCTGCTGTGAGCATTCATGTGTAAGTTTTTGTATGGATATATGTTTTCAGTTCTTTCAGGTATATCACTAGGTGTGGAATTTCTGGGTCATATGGTAAGTCTATGTTTAATAGTTTTAGAAACTGCCAGACTGTTTTCCAAAACAGCTGCACCATTTTACATTCCCATTAGCAATGTATGGGGCATTCTGATTTCTCTATATACACTGATGTTATAGAGCATCTTTTCATCTACTTATTTACCATTCTTTATATCTTCTTTGGAGAAATGTGTATTTAGATCCTTTGTCCATTTTTAAATGGGCTACTGGTCTCTTTATTATTGATTCATAAGAGTTCTGTATATATTTTGTATACAAGTCCCTTATCAGATATGTAATTTGCAAATATTTTTTCCCATTCTGTGGGTTGTCTTTCTTTACTGATTTTTATCTCTTCTTCTTCAGCTGTTGAGGGAAATGTGTTATAGTCTCCTGTGATAATAGTAGAATTTACCTATTTCTCATTTCAATTCTATCCATATTTTCCTTCATATATTTTGGAGATGATTTGTTGGATCCACATATATTTGATATATCATAGCAACCTGGTGATTGATCCCTTTATCATTATGAAATGTTCCTCTTTGTGTCTAGTAATACTTCCTGCCTTAAAGTATACTTTGATATTTATATAGCTATGCCAGCTTTCCTTTGCTTAGTGTTTGTATGGTTTATCTTTTTTTATCCTTTTATTTTCAAATTTTCTAGGGCTTTATGTTTAATATATGCCTCTTGTAGGGGCACCTGGGTGGCTCAGTCAGTTGAGTGTCTGACTTCAGCTCAGGTCACTTCAGCTTGTGGGCTTGAGCTCCACATTGGGTTCTGTGCTGGCAGCTCAGAGCCTGGAGCCTGCTTCAGATTTTGTGTCTCCCTCTCTCTCTCTGCCCCTCCCCCTGCTCACCCTCTCTCTCTCTCTCTCTCTCTCAAAACAAATAAACATAAAAAAAATGTATACCTCTTGTAAACAGCATGTGGTGGGTTTTTTTTTTTTTAGCCAGTCTATCTTAGTATATTACTTATATTACTTAATATACTATTTATCTTTATGTAAATATAATTACTGATATAGTAATGGCCTTAATGTAGTTTACTGGTTGTTTTTTTTCTGTTTAATCTTCCTGTTTTATGTTTCCCCTGCTTTCTTGCTTTCTTTTGGATTAATAAACTATTTTTCTTATTCCATAATTTATCTCTGTTAACTTTTTATTTATACATTTGCTTATTGATCTTTTAGAGGTTTACCTGCAGACCATAACACACATCTACTTTTGTCAGTTCAGCTTTCACCAGAAACTTTTGGTCAGCCTAGCCATATGCCAGATTCAAGCCTGGATTCTCAGTAGTCTTCTGTCTGTACCCAAAATTGGTAGATCGCCTAGGGAAAATTTGGATGTGTGTGTTAACTCACCTCTCCAACTTTTTTCTCCTTCTCTGGAATTTTAGGTCCTCTAGTCCTCGTGCTTCTGTAGCAATCTGTTACATTTAAATAGATCGTTTTGCATTTTATCTGACTTTTATAATTGTTCCTGTAGGAATTTTAGTTTGCTACAGACTGTTCTATCATACCTGGAAGTAAGTGTGGTTTTATTATCAATGAATAACCGTATAGTCATTGTATATTTACATAGTAAGCTTAATAATTACACATTGTTAACATTAATGTTATATTACATATATAGTAATATTAATGCTACTTTTATTATTTATTTATTTAGTAATGTTAATTTGCCATTATTTTCCTAAGAATACCTTTTACTCAAGTGTTGATTGAACTTTCACATAGAGAAGAAGAGGGAGAAGGTAGACACATTAGGGTGAATAGTTACCTTTTGAAGGGATTAGTCAGGTTATTTTAATAATCATAAGCTAGTTGAGTTCTTTCTTTAATGTTTATTTACTTTTGAGAGAGAGGGAAAGAAAAAGCACAAGTGGGGTAGGGACAGAGAGAGAGGGAGACAGAGGATTGGAAGTGGGCTCCGAGATCAGAGCGGAAAGCCTGATGCAGGGCTCTAACTCACACACTGTGAGACCATGACCTGAGCCAAAGTCAGACACTTTACTGACTGAGCCACCCAGGCACACCAAGTTCTTTCTTTAAATACCCACATGAAGTTTGATAAAGTTTAATTTGCTTTAATTGTAGCCTTAACTGTCTCAATATTATCCTCATTTGATCTCTTTACTTTCTTCATTTTTAATCCACATCAAATTCATTCTTTAGATGCATGTGGAGTATATCACTGTAATCAGTGAGAGAGGTACACATGACTCAGTATTTGGCCCTGCATGTAAAATCTGAATGAACGAACGAATGAATGAATGCAGGGGCCTCTGTCCAGCTTTCTGGTTCATTTGAGTTGATAAGAGTCGGGATTTCCCTTGTACTAAAATTAAACAGTATGAAAGTTTCATTTTACATGATACTCATTTCATGAGTGTAAAATTGCTGTCACCTTAGGAGGCATTCACATTGTGAGAGGTTAATTAGTTTCGAGCTATTCCTCAGGGGAGCCAGAACTAGCATTGGTAAGCCAAAGCCTTAGAAAGGAAACCCTGGGAATCAAGTGCCCACAAACCGGAGTTGTCATCAGACATTAGAAAGCTAGTATTAGAACGCCACAACTGGGGGTTTGGCCAGTCTGAAGTATCAGTAACTCCAAGTGAAGAGCTTTCTTCTCTGAGTGAACTAAGTCATAGTCTCAAAGGAAAACAATAATTCCCACATGGTAACAGACTTATTATCAGAAAACGTGGGATGTTTTAATGGCTTGTCCTAAAGAAAATTTAAAATGTTGCTGAAGAGATTTTAGAATTAAAAGTTTATAAACACAGCTTAAAGATGTTGCTCAATAAAGTATGTGGTATTATTTGGAGACTCTAAGAAGTTTCCTACTTAACAATTTCTATTTCAGTCTATTCCACTGACCTACATGTGTGGGAAGCACCAGAGCACACAATTAAGAATGAGCATTTCATAGAAGAGTCATGTGTAATAATCTATTTAACCATCATGGTCATGAAGAATATCAGTGTCATATGATTAAAAATGAATTGAAAAAAAAACTAGTAAAATTTGAGTTTTATTGTCTATTATATGGTGCCAATTGATTTCCTGATTCTGATAATACATTCTAGTTAGGCAAGATGTCACCAATGGGAAAAGCTGACTGAGGAGTGCATGAATCTTCTCCATACTATTTTGTAACTTTTGGTGAGCTTAAAATTATTGCAAAAAAAAGTTTAAAAAATGATTTGAAAGATAAAAGATTTTGTATTGATGAAATGAAAGGGATGCTAATAAGTAAGATACGATAGTCTTTCTTCTTAAGTATGAGGGGAAGTAAAGGGATTATGCCTTTAGATTCCAAGAGCAACCATAAAATATAAGGGCTCTTAAACAAAAAACCGTATCAGACCTATAAATGTAGAGAACAAACTGATGGTTGCCAGGGAAGTGGGGAGAGTTGGGAAAAATAGGTGAATGGGAACAGGAGATACAGGCTTCCAGTTTTGGAATGAATAAGTCACAGAAATAAGAGGCACAGCATAAGGAACTTTGGTATTGTAATAGCAGTGTAATGGAACTTTGGTATTGTAATAGCAGTGTAATGGAACAGATGGTAGCTACACTTGGAAACAAAGCATAATGTATAAACTTGTCAAATCACTAAATTGTACACCGGAAACTAACTACACTCAAATAAATAAAAAGAAAAAATATATAAGGGGTCTTTCTTTTTGGCTTAAGAATGATTGATACTACATCATTTGTACCAATGATACAGTACTTTGTGAAATTAACATTCTTAACTAATACTACTTTGGTTTATATCCTTCTAATATTCTTTTCATAAGGTAAATTTATTTTAAGTAATTTTAGCCTATGTATTAGACTAGATTTTTTTAAAATATAATTTATTGTCAAAATGGTTAACATACAGTGTGTAAAGTGTGTAAAGATACTTGTACACACCAAGTATCTTGGTTTTTGGGGTAGATTCCCATGGTTCATCGCTTATATACAACACCCAGTGCTCATCCCAACAAATGCCCTCCTCAATGTCCATAACCCATTTTCCCCTCTCCCCAACCCCCCAATCCACCCTTAGTTTGTTCTCTGTATTTAAGAGTCTCTTATGGTTTGCCTCCCTCCCTCTCTGTAATTATTTTTCTCCCTTCCCTTTCCCCAGTCTTCTGTTAAGTTTCTCAAGTTCCACATGAGTGAAAACATGGTATCTGCCCTTCTCTGACTGACTTATTTCACTCAGCTTAATACCTTCCAGTTCCATCCACATTGCTGCAAATGGCATGATTTCATTCTTTCTCATTGCCAAGTGGTATTCCGTTGTATATATAAACCACATCTTCTTTATCCATTCATCAGTTGATGGACATTTAGGCTCTTTCCATAATTTTGCTATTGTTGATAGTGCTGCTATAAACGTTGGGGTACAGGTACCCCTATGCATCAGCACTCCTGTATCCCTCGGATAAATTCCTAGTAGTGCTATTGCTGGGTCATAGGGTAGTTCTATTTTTAACGTTTTGAGAAACCTCCGCACTGTTTTCCAGAGTGGCTGCACCAGTTTGCATTCCCACCAACAGTACAAGAGGGCTCCCATTTCTCTACATCCTTGCCAGAATCTGTAGTTTCCTGAGTTGTTCATTTTAGCCACTCTGACTGGCGTGAGGTAGTATCTCAGCGTGGTTTTGATTTGTATTTCCCTGATGATGAGTGACATTGAGCATCTTTTAATGTGTCTGTTGGCCATCTGGATGTCTTCTTTGGAAAAGTGTCTATTCATATCTTCTGCCCATTTCTTCACTGGATTATTTGTTTTTTAGGTGTTGAGTTTGGTAAGTTCTTTATACATTTTGGATACTAACCCTTTATCCAATATGTTATTTGCAAATATCTTTTCCCATTCTGTCAGTTGCCTTTTGGTTTTGTCAATTGTTCCCTTTGCAGTGCAGAAGATTTTTATCTTGATGAGGTCCCAGTAGTTCATTTTTGCTTTTAATCCCCTTGCATTTGGAGATGTGTCAAGCAAGAAATTGCTGCGGCTGAGATCAAAGAGGTTGTTGTTCCCTGCTTTCTCCTCTGGGGTTTTGATGGTTTCCAGTGTATTAGACTAGAATTATTCAATCTTACGGTAAAGGTGACTGGTACGTAGTTCATAGGAGTAAAAAGTTACTCCCAAGTTCATATAGTAATTCTTGGGCCATAATCATTTCTCTTTTTGTGTGGTGTCTTTTCAGTTCCCCTCTACTCAGATTTGTAGAATCTGATTTTTTTGTCATATGTGGTTTTCCTTTGGTAATATCTTAGAAATATCAGCTTCTTTTTTTGTTAGTAGTCCTCTCATATATAAATGTTAGCTACTTTTTTCATGATACTGTACCCCAAACTTTATCGGTTTGTTTACAATTCAAGTTAAAAATTGGGGCATTTGGTGTGGGTTCAATTGCTGCGTCAGGCTCTGTGCACTGGCTGCATGGAGCCTGCCTAGGATTCTGTTTCTCCCTCCCTCTCTGCCCCTCCCCCATTGGCACACTCTCAAAATAAATAAACTTAAAAAAATAGATATTTAGTTTTGCTTATACAATTGTACTGTGCAGTATCAATTAATTTGCATAATAGTTCAGTTTATCTTTGGAAGCTATCCTGTGATATTATCCTCTATAAGCCTTTGACTAGCCTGACACTTCAAAACCTAAATATGTAATCAGAGTAATAAAATGGAATACCTCCAATGCCATGTAACCAGGGAAAAGAATAAATTCTAAATGTTGGTCATGTAAATAGTTATAGTCATATAAACTGTAAATACTAATATTCCTCTTGCTTTTATAGTTGCCAAAGAGGTTTAATTTGTTTGTGTTGTCTTTATATTCCTCTATTAGTCTCCATAATGGATAAGGTGACAACAGTTTTCAACAGTGCACAGAGATTGGAAGTTGTTAGAAATTGCATCTCTTTCATATTTGAAAATAAAACGTTGGAGACTGAAAAGGTAATAAAATTCCATCTTTCCCAAGTAAGCATTCATCATTTCCCTTTCAGATTTACATGTGTAGCTTGCCAAATGACCTCTCCTCTAATTCCATCTCTTGTCTTTATTGAGTGTCCTTTGATCGTTTTGATCATTTTAAGTGAATCAAGTCTAAGATTTAAAATCTTAGCCAAGCCTAGTTATGTGGCTACCAGAGAAATACTAATAGTCATTTTTTTCCTCAAACTTTTAAACATTGTTCACTAAATCCTATTTTACTTAGAAATTTAACATTTTAAGTATAATTTTATTTATTGCAAAGAATCTAGTCAGAATAAGTAATGAATTATAGAAACAGTGGTATTCAATTTAAATGGGTCTTATTAAAGCACATTTTCTTGAGGCTCATGGGTCGCTCAGTCAGTTAAGCATCTGACTTCAGCTCAGGTCATGATATTATGGTTTGTGAGCTCAAGCCCTATGTCATGTTCCATGCTGACAGCTGAAAACCTGGAGCCTGCTTCAGATTCTGTGTCTCCCTGGCTCTCTGCCTCCGTCTCTCTCTCTCTCTCTCTCTCTTTCAAAAATAAACTTAAAAAAATCATAGTGTTTACAGTGTTCCCAGTATAATAATGTTATTGGAATAAACATAAGAGATGCTATTGAAAACAGTGTTTTAAAAAAACACATTTTCTTGACTTTTTAAATAAAACATGCTAAATGTAACGTAATCTTTTCTTAGTGACTCATTATAGCTCTGAACATCTATTACAGGAGGCTAAAGCGTGAAAAGAGTAACATTTTTACCCTTATAGTAAATGACCCCAAGCCTTCCTAGGTTTTGACTTTTTTTTGGTTTCCATTTTCTCTTCTGCTTGAAGTATCACAGACTTCCTTTTGCTTCTCTTGCTTTAGGTTTCCATCCTATTTCTTGTGCCTGCCTATAATAATACTGTGCCCTCTTTCTCTCAGACTTCTTCCCTTCCTTCTTAGTTGCTCCTTTGTTCTGTATTTTTTAGGTTTTCAAAGTTAAATAAGCTTATTACTGTTTTATATAAAATACATTAACTAGGCTCTCAATATTACTATTTTATATAAAATACATTAACTAGGCTCTCATAAACTGGAAGAGACATTCTTCTGGGTGATGAAATGAAAGAGTTTTAATACATAAATCTGGACATTTCTATTTGTTGATTTGAGTCCTTTATTATACTGAAATGAGGAAGGGAGATTTAGAATTTTCTAGTCATAAATTAAAACTGACTTGTGATTAAAGAACTGATTAAATAACCAGTTTAAAGGTATAAAGTCACCTGTGTTTATTTTCATTAAATTTTTCCTTCTATTCTTGCCATGAAGATGTGGCCAGTTATTAAAAGAGGTGTCTAAGTGTCATGAGTGTTTTGGTAACCAAAGTTTTGTTGAGTTTTTTTTTTTTTTTTTAGGTGAAGTTAATGTTTTTTTGTTTTTTGTTTTTTAACTTATCACATGAATCAGTTCTATTTCTTTTTCATGCTGGCTTACAAATAAAATTAACTGTTAACCCATATATTTATGTATAGTTGTTCTTAATAACAAATCAACTCTTGTAGAAGCTAGAAGTTTAATTCTAATAACTTTGTTAAATGGTTTATAGATAAGGTGCACTTGAATTTTTAGTGTGATTGAAAGTACTTTTTTGCATTGATTCCTTTTGTTCACTTCTGCCTCTCTTGTCCTCAGACCCTTCCAGCTGCATTGAGAGCCCTTAAAGGAAAGGCAGCAAGACAGTGTCTCACTGATGAGCTGGGTTTGCATGTCCAGCAAAACAGGGCTATATTAGACCACCAACAGTTTGACTACATAATAAGGATGATGAACTGTACTCTACAGGTAATTTTTAGTTCTTTTAGATTATTCCTAATATTTAAGACTACTTTTTATTTTCCCAGGAGATTCTGTAATTACTGATATGTCAAGTTCTTGAGCCTTCCACAGTGAATAAGATGAAGAACCAATATCCATACCATTTTGGACAGAAACGCTTATTACTTGGCATAAACATTTTTATTTTCTCTTGAAAAATAGTAGGTTATATTACTTGTTCTCTAAGGAAGCTTTCTGAAAATGAAAAGTCATCTTTAAAACATTCATTTTTATATTACTTAATGTCAGATTACTTAATAATTACTACTTAATTATTCATGCCATTGTCAGGTTTTGGTTGTGCTATTAAGATAGAGGGTAATGAATGATGGATAATCCAAATTACAAATGAATTACTCAATAAAGTATTTGCTAAACACTATGCATATAAAGCCAAAACATACTTCCATTCAAAAAATATATATATTATACTACAGAAATAAACTTCCCACAAAATAGTGATACCAATTTAAGAGAAGCAAATAATCTGCTTACCCCATCCTGTCTCACTTGTTAGATAATTTATTACATTGGCATTATATTCTTTACAGGTGATACAAAAATTATTTCTCAAACTTTCTTTTTTCAAACTTTTTGAACAAGGAGAAAAATGTTATTAAATATTAAAAATTCAAAGACTATCTGTGGGACTCTAGAGAAACTAAACAAAATGGATATTAAATTCTGTTACACTGGAAGATGAGAATTACCAGGTATAATTAGTAATAAAATTTATGAATGAAAGAAGGCCTAATTAAATGGAAGATATACCATGCCCATGGATTAGAAGATAAAGATAGCAGTTCTCCCCAAAATAATCAATAGAGGCAATGCAATTTCTATCAGAATCCAAACTAGAAGAGAAAAAAAACCTAAGAATTACCAACACACCCCTGGGGCGCCTGGGTGGCTTAGTCAGTTGAGCATTCTCTTGATTTTGGCTCAGGTCATAATCCCAGAGTCGAGGGATCAAGCCCTGTGTGGGGCTTCATGCTGAGCATGGAGTCTGCTCTGTATTTTTCTCTCTCTCTCCTCTCTTTCTCTTTCTCTCCCTCTCCTCTCTCTCTCTCTCTCTCTCTCTCTCTCTCTCTCTCTCTCTCTCTCCCCCTCTGCCCCTCTCTCCTGCTTGTGTGCTTTCTCTCTCTAAAAATTAAATAAATAAACAACAGTTACCAACACACTCCTAAAAACAACAGCAACTTTAGAATTGGTCCTGTCAGATCAAAAATTAGTTTAAAAGAAGACATACCAAAATAAATAAACAATTAAAATAAGACATACAAATGTACAGAAGGCACCTGAAAATGTGTTCAGCATCACTAATCATCAGGGAAATAGGAATCAAAATCACCATGAGATATCACCTCACATTTGTTAGAATGCTATTATCAAAAAAGATAAAAGATAACAAGTGTTGAGAGGAAGTGGAGAAAAGGGAACCCTTGTGTACTGTTGGTAAGGATGTAAATTGATACAGCTACTATGAAAAACATAAAATTAAAACTAAAACATATGATCCAACAGTCCCATTTCTGAGTATGTCCAAAGGAAAACAGGATATTGAAGAAGTGTCTGTACCCACATGTTCAATGAAGCATTTTTAACAATAGCCAAGATATGAAAACAATCTAAGTGTCTATCAACAGATGAATAGAAAAAGATGTGTTATATATAAGCAATGGAATTATTCACCCATGAGAAAAAAGGAAATCCTGCCATTTGTGATAACATGGATAGACATTGAAGGCATCATGATAAGTGAAATAAGCCAGACAGACAAAAACAAATACTGCATGTTATCTCTGATAGGTAGAATCTTAAAAAAAAAAAAAAAAAAGTCTAACTCTTAGAAACAAAGAGTAGAAAAGTGGTTGCCAGGGCCTGAGGGGTGGGGAAAATAGTGAGAAGTTGGTAAGAGGTGCAAACTTTTAGCTATTATAAGGCCAAGGCCTCAGGATCTAATGTAAAATGTGGTGATTGTAATTGATAAAACTGTATTACATACTCAAAATTTGCTAAGAAAGTGGAACTTAAATATTTGCACCAAACAAAAACAATAAAACAGGTAAATATGGGAGTCCTTTAATGATGTATGTATACATCAAGTCATCATGATGTACACTTTAAATATTTTATGATTTTATTTATCAATTATACTTCAATAAAACTTAAAATAATGTTTGACTAGTTTAAGATTGTAGTAATTAAGACACTATATAGTAGTTAGATTGACCCCTAGAACAGAATGTTCATAACAGATGATAACAGATAATAAACAGAAGTACACATATATGGAAATGTGACTTATGACAAAACTGGCATTTCAAGGGAGCCAGTGTGGCTCGGTGGGTTAAGCATCTGACTCCTGATTTCGGCTCAAGTCATGATCTCAGGGTTGTGAGATTGAGCCCCATGTCAGGCTCTGCACTTGGCTTGGAGCCTGCTTAAGATTCTCTCTCCCTCTCCCACTGCTCCACCCCTGCTCACAAATACACTTTTACTCTCTCTCAAAAAAAAAAAAAAAAAAAAAAGGGCATTTCAGATCAGTGACCAAATGATGAAAAATTCAATAATAGTGCCAGGACAATTAGGTGAAAATGTACACAACTTCACTAATGTATGTGTACCACACTATGCACTAAAAACACTTTCACGTGGATTAAAGACTTAAATATGAAAAGCCAGGCTATCTAATTTTCCAAACAATCCTTAAAAGAGATATCCTTATGACTCTGGGGTAGGAACAGATTTGTTAAACCAGTTACAAATCATCCTGATCTTAAAATAAAAGATTGATAAATTTGACTACATTCAACTTAAGAACTTTTCTTCATCAAAAAATACCATAGAGTGAATGCATACCTCAGGGTGAGAGATGTTTGCAAAGAATATAACTGCCAACAGATTAGTGCTCAGATTATAAAAACTTCTACAAGTGGGGCACCTTGGTGGCTCAGTTGGTTGAGCATCCAACTTGATTTTGGCTCACATCATGATCCCAGGGTCATGGGATCAAGCTCCATGTTGGGCTCCATGAGGAGCATGGAGCCTGCTTAAGATTCTCTCCCTCTCTCTGCCCCTCTCCCCTGCTCCTGGTCACTCTCTATCTAAAATAAAATAAATAAAATAAAAACTCGTACAAATCAATAAGAAAAAGACAAATTTTTAATGGGCAAGAGACTTAAAAAAAAGTATCTCAGAAAAAAGGAAACCCACTTGGTCAGTAGGTGTATAGAAAGATTATCTAGAAATAAAGGACCTATGTCAATAATTGGAGAGTGTCAATTTAAACCATAATGCTATAGCCTTTTACATTCACTATTTTGGAATAATTAAAAAATCATATCAAATATTGGTGAAATTATGGAACAAACAGAAGTTTTAAACTTTGCTGGTTAGAATATAAAATAGTATATAACTCCTTTAGAAAATTTAGTAAGATATAAGATAGTAAGAAATAAGATAATTTGTCATTTATGTGTAAAGCTGAATATGAACATATTCTCTGACCCAGTGATTCCACTCTCAGATGAGCTCTTACCCATATACACCAAGAGGCATGCACAAAAATGTTCATAGAAGCATTGTTTGAAATAGCAGAAAACAAAGGAACTAATATGCCAACCAGCAGTAGAATGAATAAATAAATTATGGGTTTTAAAAAAAATTTTTGTAACATTTATTTTTGAGAGACAGAGACAGAATGCAAACAGGGGTGGGGCAGAGAGGGAGGAAGACACAGAATCCGAAGCAGGCCCCAGGATCTGAGCTGTTAGCACAGAGCCTGACACAGGACTTGAACCCATGAGCTGTGAGATCTTGAGCTGAGCCAAAGTCGGACACTTAACTGACGCTTGCCAGGCGCCCCTTTTTATGTTAGAATATTTTTTAGTAGAGAAAATGAATTGTAGCTACAAGGAACAATGTGGACGAATCTTAAGATAATTTTGCACAAAAATAAAAAGGCAATTCAGTTACAATATGATTCCATTAGTATAAAAGTCAAAGCATGTAATGTATTATTTAGAAATATGCAAATTAGGGATACAACATGTATATGGTAAAACTATAAAGAAAAGCAAGGCTGTATACATATATATATCAAATCATTACATTGTACACTACAATTTTACTTGTCCATTATACCTCGATAAAACTGGGAAAAAAGGAAATCAAGGGAATAATAAACAAAATATTGAAGAAAGTTACCTCAAAGGTTAGAGAGGAAGGGCAGATGAACATAGAGATCTTTGATGGTAAAGGTAATATTCTATTTCTTAAACCAGTTGTATGAGTATTCATTGTGTCATTATTCTTTATAACCTTATAACTTATACACATTAATATCTTAGGGTACTGCTATTGGGCTTTTCTACAGGGCATATTTTTCTCTTCAAATCCATTTCAAAGGATATCTTTCTCAGAAATTCTAATTTAAGGGGTGCCTGGGTGGCCCAGTCAGGTAAGCGTCCAACTTCAGCTCAAGTCATGATCTCACAGCTCGTGAGTTCGAGCCCTGTGTTGGGCTCTGTGCTGACAGCTCAGATCCTGGAGCCTGCTTTGAATTCTGTGTCTCCCTCTCTCTATGTCCCTCCCCCACTCATGTTTCTCTCTCTTTCTCTCTCTCTCTCTCTCTCTCTGTCTCCTTCAAAAATAAATAAAAATTTAAAAAAAGAAATTCTAATTTAAAATTTACCATCAAAATGTAATCTTATAACAAGCACTTTGTAGCTTATTTAAAAAAAAAAATTTTTTTTTTCAACGTTTATTTATTTTTGGGACAGAGAGAGACAGAGCATGAACGGGGGAGGGGCAGAGAGAGAGGGAGACACAGAATCAGAAACAGGCTCCAGGCTCTGAGCCATCAGCCCAGAGCCCGACGCGGGGCTCGAACTCACGGACCGCGAGATCGTGACCTGGCTGAAGTCGGACGCTTAACCGACTGCGCCACCCAGGCACCCCAAGCT